ACTTAAACATACATAACACAAAACATGACTTAGATCAATGGCTCCTCAAAATAAGACTATTTCTGCAAATCCATAGAGGAATTCATGCTTTTATCTGATTCCCAAGTACCAATGCTATAAATCCATATATCCCAGTATAACCCATCATTGACCTTGTTTGTCCTGATTTTAATCAATCTGATCATGTTAGTAAGGAGGATCAAAGTCATGTGATATCTGTACAACTGTTGAGTACATTTCTGACATTGTGATTGACTTACACAGGCAGGGCATACCACACTTACATCTTAAGCAAAAGCTTTCTAATCTGCATCCTAACAATCTTTAATTAGTAACCAGGTGTGCAGATCTGACAAGTCAATGTTATTTTGTGAATGCTTTAATAAGAGCATGTACATGACAATTTACTCATTTATGATACATGTACAATGTTGAATATGTACTACATGCATAGCATCAGTACGTGGATGTGTATTCATCATCTGTCCTTAAAATGAAAACCTGATTGTTTGCAGTTCAATCACCCATCCATAAATCTTGACCACAATCAAAAGATTTTCATGATATTTTCATTGAAATTTTTATCTTAATGTCCATTTGTTTGGTTTTTTACATTTTATAATAGTGTGCCATGATAGAAATGAAACAAAATTTGCCATAGTACTGTTCCTACCCATCCTAAGCAACTATTAGGAAACAACATGTTTGAACTCTGTATTGCAGATTATATGATTAAATACATATACTGTATCTGTTCTATAAAACATCCCTAATACTTTAATCCATAATACCAAAAAGTTATATTAAAGCCAGTTAAATTTGGGGTTAATTCAAAATAATCTGAAATGAAATCAATTTTTAAATACTGTATCTTGCCTTAGAAGAACTTAAAGATAGATGATGATCTGTAATCATTATACAGCATCAGAACCTCTTTAACACCATCAACATCATCAGATGGTATGATATACAGTCAGAACAGTTGGTAAAGGACTTATGTTTGAAGTTCAAGGACAGAGAAAACATTAAACTGAGATACTTGATCATACCATCCTAAGCACATCATCTTCACATTACTGTATGTGCTGGTCAATATACAGTCAGAGTTAATTATTGTTTCAAAATTACAATTGCTGAAGGCAGATACAGAGCATTATATAATTAAAGAGGCCATTACAACAAGGTACACTATGACCAGTGATTTAAAATGCACCCAAAAACATGACCATATAGATAATCCATCAATGTAGGTTTTATTTTTCAAAACTGACGTCTTTCCAATATAATGTCCACTCCTTTTACCAAGTAACTTAAAGAAATCAATGCTACAAGAAAATCAAGAATTCATATTCTCTACTTCTAATTCAGTTGTAGATTTAATATTTACAAAAAACTACTCTGCATTTTCTAATTTAAACATAAAGACCTTATCATGGTTAATCATAATCATTATAAATGGCATACAAATCATTTTTATAGACCCTTTGGTGCAAATAAAATTTAATAAAAATTATAATAAATTTCATATTATCTCCATAAATAAATAAATAAAACAAATAAACTATGAAAAAATCCAACTGATTTCCTAACTGAGTGACAAGCTGCTTGATTTATCATGAAATATTGAGCTAAGAAGATTCCTTTTAACACCTAAAAAATCCCTAACTTCATTCCTCAATTATAGACTCATAAAATCTGCTTACTTTACAAACGGAGATAATAAGAAGAATACATTGGGAATTACAACATGTGATTAAACGAACACACCTCTAATTACGATCACGCTGAGTTAGTTAATTTTTTTGCAATACACAAAACTGAAGATGAGAGAATGTGGTATTCATTATCATCACAACACATGGATGCTTAGAATAAAAGTAAAATTATGTTTTGTCTGTGCTGTTTATAATGCAATGAATTAGTAACTTTAACAGCTTTAAGAGTTTACTTGTTTATGATCGGAAAGCATCAAAGATACAATAAGTTCTCAAAGATTTTTTATCATTATTCTCTTTGCCCACAAAGCATATAATCGGGCTAATGATGGCTTACATGAAAGAGGAAGAAAATCTTGTTGTGTTCAATTCAAGAATCATCCATTTATATTCTTAAAAGGAAAACGACTCTTAGAAAGCTTAACTAAATAGCTTAAACAACTCTTAGAAAGCTTAACTAAATAGCTTAGTCTAAGTTGATGATCATCATCTTTGCAAATAAGCTCATAATAGATACCAGGATTAAAACTTTCAACCCAAGACACGCGTTTGGTGTTTCGTCTATAAATGACTCATTATTGGTGAGTTTAAATCAAAAAAGGGACAAAGTACCAACAGAACCAAAATAAAATTGACACTGAGATATGTCTCGCCTTTATGTTATTTTGATAGTATAATGTAATTGTTGAAATTAAAGTGACAACACTTGAATATGGTTCATGGACTTTGAATGCAAACTATGCAAAACATAAAAAGTCAATGAACAATGACTGAAGGTGGAGGACCAAAAAACATCCGTGGAAATGAGAAATGCCAATGCTAATACAATTGCATATCAACTACCATTGGCTTATTATAAGTGGTTCCCCTTAAACTGACCTAAAAACAAACCTTAACATGTGAACTATGCAAAAGTTTCATCAATAAATCATGCTGAGTGGTGATGCAATACAATCTCCATGGAAATGAGACTTAAAACTGCTTAAACTGCATACCATATACATATATAATGACTAAGTGGTTCATCTTTAACTGTAACAAACTTTAACATGTAAACTAAGGAAAATTTTCAAAGTCAATAGACCAGGACTCAGATGGGTGAGGCCACTTTTTCGACTTCGTTGAGGTGAGACAAAAACCAAAATTCCCTGATCACACTCAAAGGGTTCTCTCTAATATTATATCTTCACAGACAATAAATATTATATCAGACTGCATTATGACTTTCTGCCAACTAATCATCTTTTCAATATATAATTACATACTGCCATGCTCAACAAGTCCTAAGAACTAAATTATTATGTGTATGCTTGTGGTTGGGAGAGGGGGTGACGTGTATGCATGTTGTTGGGAGAGGGATGGGTTTGAGATATCTTTTTTGTTTTAGTCAGACAACTAAGTATGGGCTTTCCTCTAAACTAGCATTTTTGTCCATTCTTCACAAATCGCAATAATAAATGCACACAATATTTTCTGAATTTACACTAAGTAAAGGCTTTCCTCTAAACCAGTATATTAACACTATTAGTAGACATATTCATGAACCCCCTTCTAGCAGATAATTTTCCAAATCTGTCCCAAAAATGCTAGCTAAATACATCTTTAATAGCTTTGCACCACACTTGTATATAAGAGTTTATATTTTGACTGCCTAAATGTAATACCTATCTTGTGTATATAAAGTTAATTGAAAAATTTAATACCCATAATATCTGTCAAGTCATATTCATCAAAATATCTACAAAATCACCATCAGGGGACTTAACTCTTTGAAATTATAAAAACATTGCATGATATATAACTTTAAAGAATCAACTAGTTTCACACTTCAACAAATTTTAAATCTTGATTGTATTTTTATTTTAAACATTAATTAAGATTCCTGAAGATAGAACGCTAGATTAAAAGCTATTCTATTATAGCTGTATACATAAAATTTAATTTTGCATCAAATGAACCTCGAAAAAACAAGAATTCTGATTTTCTTTTTGGTCATTACTTCTTTTATAGTTCCCAAAAACAGATGTTTTTCTGTCAGAAAATTGAGCAATAAAGAGTTCTGTATAATTTCATGACTGGAATAAAAACCTATATAATGATCAAATCATAGACAGAAAGACGAAGAATGGAATAAACTGAATTAATATGGTGATCTGAAAAAATTAACATGCAAGGAAGTCTTTGGTTTGACACAGGCTGGTATCACACCAACAATCTCCACACTTCAGGCGAGCACATGCACTACCACAATACCACTGAAGCAGTTTGTTTAAAAGTTTAATGGAACTATACTTAAAACACTCAGTTTAAGTCTATTATTGGAATCTCTAAAAGCACTTTGTTTAAGTCTATTATTAGAATGATGTTTCTGTTTTAGTTTATTATTCTACTGATATGACTATAGATGTGCATAAAAGATTAATTTTCTGCAGAGGAAACTGAAAATAACCATTCCAGTCATATCATATGTAAATTTTCCAAAAAGAGAAATGTCATAACAATCATAAATGTCAAAACGAAATGGCAACCTATTGGAAATTTTAGTTATTTCATCTTTTATAATTTCTAAACACATTATTATTTATATATACACATATGGCATGCATGTCAATAAAAGTAGATGGGCAGTATACATAAATTTTACAGAAACCTGACAACCTAAAAGAAACACTAAACATATGGTCCAGTTTGCAAAAGGTTTCTGATACTATCATTTTTCTAACTGGTCAAAAAAGGGATTTTCCCTAAACATCCAAGACAAACGAATAGATACATGCATGCTTATGCTCAATATTTAAAACACCATGTTTTACTGGACGATTGACTTAACACAAACTGACCAAAAAGATCATGGCATGGAATTTTCTACAAACCACTGAAGTAATATTTTCTTCAATTTGGGCGAATCTAAGTATTTCTTACATTCTAGACATAAATGGACGCCAGCAAACATGTTTAACCCTGCCACATTCTGAATGTGTCTGTCCCTGTCCCAAGTCAGGAGCCTGTATTTCAGTGGTTATCATTTGTTGCTGTATATCATATTTTACATTTGTCATTTTGGAGCTTTTTCAAGCTTACTATGCGGTCCAGGTTTTGCTCATTTGTGAAGGCAGTACCTATGGTTGTTAACTTCTACGTCATTTGGTCTCTGTAGGAGAGTTCAGTCTCACTGGCAATCGTACCACATATTTTAATAGGTCAAACTACTATACAAAATAATCATTTTTGAAAGCTCATAATTAAGAAATTAAAAGATAGAGTTAAAATTTACATAGACATTACCTGTTCTGGCTTGAGTCCTGGGGGTACCCATGTATATTCCTCAAGAGGACATCCACTATCATCATCTGAGGTAGAATTACGTTTGGCATCATGGTGGATCAACCGATTCAATGTTTGATCCTGCTCACATCCTGTTGTCATATCGTGGGTTTCTGGTGGACATTTGCAGTGTTTACAAATCTTTCTACAATAATAAGAGAACAAATCTTTGTAATCAAGAATAGGATAAAACTGTTTGAAATTCATCGGAACAGAGATTTTGTAATAAACATGAATAAACCATACCCTAAATGGTTTTCATATGCAAGTTACAGCATTTTCAGCAATTTAACGTGTGAATGCTTCTACGGATCAGAATAATTTACACATATTAAAATCCGCCTCACATGCTAACTTCTTCCAACATTTAATTTTTCATAATTATAATAGTAGTATATATGACAGTTCTTGTTTCTCCACAGAAACAATCAATACATAATAATTTGTTTTACCATGTAACAATATTGTATTACGTAATTTCATATTTTACAGGAAAGGTTCCTATGTAACATGAAAAGGCATAATATCCATATATTTCTTTAATCCAAAAAAAGATAGAGTTTTCTGTAAGTCAATAACACCCTGGAGATTTCCCCCTTTAATGAAAGGCAGGAAACAGAAGATCCTTTAACTTACCAAAAGACAAAATCATTTTATCTGAAAGGAAAAACTTTTAAAATGCAAATGAACCTCATCTTATCTCATATACTGAAATATCCATAATCGATTAAATGCAACATCAGCAGAAAATGGTTCAGAAAGAGATAGATGAGGTTCCATGTCTCTCAGTCTCCAGAGTGTTTACTTATTTGTCTAATCTGATAGATACAAACAGCTTTAAAGTACTGAGAAGACATTTTTAAAAGAAATGTGAACATTCTGTTCAAATCGTGTATGCCATCAAGTCTTAATGTTTCAAATGTACGGACAACAGCAAAAGGTTACCTTTGTTGATGAATTGAAAAAGACTTTGTCATTACACTAATGTTTTTAGAACATTTTTAGCATTTCAATATCTGAATCCGACTCTTAATTTTCTAGGATATACAGCAGGCCGGAAAAGACTCATCATAAAATTTTACCATTTAGATCTAATAAAAAACCTGCCAAAGAATGTCCAAGACTACAGTATATTTGTTATGCATAAGAACCATTATTTTGAGGTTTTAAATTAACCATGAGTCCTTCAGTGCATTTATTCTGGAACTTCTCATAAAATGATAAATCTTTCACAAATTATAATCACAGAAAAAATTCAATGGCAAACAAAGTAAAAACATGTGATCTAGGACCCTTTTTAAGTTTAGTATACAAAATGAACCTGATATTTTCAAGAATGAAATATGGTACAATATCATTCAATGTCTATTTGACACTTCTCCTTCATCAGATGTTCTGACCCCCCATTGGATGTAATAGTCTGACCAACACAGTTGGCCACTTCAATCTTAATAGCTCTCTGTCTGACAACACTGATGATCTACAATACCAGTGATAATTCAGATCTTATTCTGATGAGTAGCTGCTGAAGGCCAAATGTCTACAGGACTAATTGAACAAAATCACTTTGCTACAGATAGAATTCCAAGAATATTGAAAACATAGCAAATTTCATCCACTCAAAACATGACTGGCCTGGACAGAAAATAGCTTTTTACAAGCATGACAACCATGGAAATAATAATTAAGAATTTTAAGGAAGTGGTCCACCCCAGAAATTTAATTCAGAAAACTGATAATTCATGATCAATTTAATTCAATTTAAATAAAATGCAACCTTCAACAGCATGAATAATGAGGATATGGACTGAACATTTCTGGATCCACCACTGTCTACCAGTACATCTCTTGTAAATCTTGTAATTTATATATTGATGTTTTAATACACTGATATCCAAATTTCTTCTGGAACCTTTTCAACTGTTTGTCTTCGGTTATATCTAAATGTATTTTGTCATTTGGAGAATTTCATGATGATGGCAGATTATGATAGTCTCTGTTAAAATTGTTTTTAACTTCTTGACTCTTGGCCATTTAGAGCTTTACCTATTTCACTGAAGACAGTATCTCGACCTCTAGCAACATGAAAAGTTTATATACAAAATGTAATTATTAATATTTTAATTTATGGAAACATGTAAAATTGGTGAAAAATGTTTAAAAGTATATCATAGGTACTCTAAACATTCCATTTCCGGAACGTTTTAACATCGATTTGATTTTAACCCTGTGAACTGTGAAACAAACACAGAGCAACTGGCCCTACCAGTCCTTGCTGTGTTCAAAGCATGTCATTGGAATATGAATAAAAGGAGAAGTTGTGTTCTTGGTTTATCAAACTGATAAAAGCATAATTAAAGAACTACTCAAGTTCAGACTTCAAACTGCTCATTGGATTGAAGATCTCAAACTGAGAATGACCTTTGTGACCCTGAACCAGTAAACCAATAACTCCCTCATCCCTTTGTTTCTATGCTTTAACTTAATAACTTATGGCTAATGATCTGGATAGTTAGATCAGCCACTGGTAATGTAAGAGCAATGAATAATGCATAGAAAACACAACGTAAGTATAGAATCAGTATTTACCAAGTCTCATGAGACCCAAAAACTCATCGAACCAATAAAACGTTTCTCTGTTTTGCATTAAATTCGTGATCTATGCAATTACGTGAAATTATAAGCTTTTGTCTATTGAGAAATATGCAATAAATAGTCTAGAAAATGAAGAGAATATTGTATCACCCAACAAAAAATTAACTAGCTCCAAGTCACGATGAATCAATGTTATACATCTTGAAAATGGAATTTTATTCTAGCTATAATTCAAAGTCACATCAGATTTACACCTCGTACAAACACAGATTATGAAATACTGCAGTCATTGTATTTAATTAAGTCTGATGTATTTTGATGTATTACTCTCAAATGTTTTATGAAAAGCTACAGGCAAATAGAAATAAGAATATGCCACACTGAAGTTTCTCATGAAAGAATTCACTCTCCAAAGAGCTCTTTAAACATTTCCATCCTTTTCAATTGAACAATTATTGAATAAATGATTTAAGTCTACTTTTCTGCCAAACAAAACGCCACCTGTCATAAATATATGAAAATATGATGTACTCAAACTTCTGTTTATCTTTTCTATTATGTGAATCCCGGTGTGGTACAGTTTTCAATGAATTCAGACAGATTTTTATAATTTTTCCAATCGTTAATTACATGTAAAATCACTGCTAAGTCGAATACACCCTTGTACATAGTTTTTGCCTTTAAATGTACTTCAAACATTAAACATGCTTTCCAGAAAAATCATCTAACAACTTCTTCCTTTTAACTGCACAGTAACACAAGGACAAAGGCCAACTTCTAAATTTGAGAAATTAACCCAAGAGAAACAGTTTCATATATGGAATTGACTATATTTAATATTACATTTTGCTGATTATTAAATTAAAAAATCATCTCTGTTTTGGTTACTTGATAATTTGGGTTGGCAAATAGAAATACAACTGTTGATTCCAACAGCTTTAAGAGCAGACTAAGTCTCATCATTCTACAATGTGTTTGATTTCAATGAAATTCATCAATCAAGCCACTTAATGCAGTCTTACCATATAACCATTGTTTTGAATGAGGGTTAATGGAACCAAGATTTAAGGCTAATATTCATAGAAAATTGAGGCGTCATTTCTGTCATTAAGAAGATTGGAATCTATAATCAGGGAAATAAACCTAAACTCCTCATAGAATATGCAAATAAAACATTGATTAAAGTGCTTCATAACTTTTGCTTGACAAATTTTGCTGAATTAAATTTCTGCTTCCGAAAATTTCACAGATGAATTTTGTATACAAGGATTTATTATCTCATCTTTCTAGTTCTTTGAATATCATTATATGTAGTCAAATGAGTTTAGAAATTCAATGTCAATGGTAATTGGAACAAATGAATCATTTGTTTCTGTAAGCAAAGGTATTCAGTCAATTTCGTGCTTGTACTCCAATGAATATGAGCAGTTGCCTTCATTTTTTTTTTTTTTATAGTTTTATAAATCAATTAGATTAAATAAGACTATAAGGGTTTTTTCGATTAACAAATATAAGAAAAAAGACTAAATTTTTTTTTTGAAACACTCTGCTGATGGAATAAACATCAACATACATGAAGGAGTCAAAATGAAGTCTTGTCTGTAAAACAATTATAAAAAAAAATAGAAATTAGAACACAAAATAGACGGAACTTCCTTTAATATTATAAACTCTGTATGATTCATACATCCTCATCTAATTTTCCATATAGATCAAAACTGTGAAGAAAATTGGAATTACAAATTCCATAAATAAATGGAAATTCGTCAATTTTCCATGACAAATAGGCTTATCAGGGAAATTAATGGTAAAACAAACACTATGTGATGTAAAGAGTTTGTTCTCTGTCCGATCTAAACCGAGATTTGATCTACTAACAAGGCTGAAAACAATTTCTGTCTTTCCATTTACACAAGAAAGAATATTCAATAAGCTATCAAACATGCATGGAAACTTGCAGATATTGGTTTCTAGAATAAGTCCTGATAAAACTTTCCACTAAAAGCATATATTGGTTTACAAAACACAAAACCAACTGCTGCCAAATAAAATGATGACATCAATTTATGTAATGGGTAAACTGTTATGAAAGAGTATTGTTATTTTAAAATGTCAAATATATTACTGCACGTCAGTTAAATTTATTGATTATCAACCATTTTTTTATTTTCCATCAACATATTTTTGTATTTTACACATTTAATTAAAGCATTTTTACATCGCGATGACCTTTAGGTCATTCCGATGTATTGCTATCGCCTAGATTTCCATTATGTAAATTAGTTTTGGGTTTGTAACCGATCTATAAACATGATAAATATGCGCACATAAACGAGTGCAAAATAACATTCCTTGTCATTTGATATAAATACATCTCTTCAATGAATACTGATAAAAATATTTTTGTTTACAACATAAATTAATAATGTGAAAATGTTTTGTAGTTAAGATATATATATATATAAGTAAAAAATCATTGATAATATCAATGCACACGTACCGAAAAATTGTGTTAAAGCATGCGGAAGAATATCTCAAAGAACGTTTTGC